ACACCCCCCCCATCCCTGCTGGTACCCCTTACTCCTGACCTGCAACCTCCCTACTCCCCCCAGCCCTGCTGGAGGGGGCCTCCAGCTGCTCCTATCCTGACAAGGCTGGAATGTGGTGGCTCTGGTTCACGTGGGTGGCAGCAAAGTGAGTCTGGGACCATCACAGGCTGGAGGAAGGAGGGGATACCTGTAGCATCCCCTGCCCGAGGCTGAGGCTCATGCACCGTGCCGGGTGGGATAGCTACACCTTTCACGTGGGCAGCATCTTTCAGGTGCCCCGACCCACCCCTGTGAGCACAGGCACTGGGCTCTGGTGTCACTAACCTGGCCATGCAGCATTCCACTGCTCCCAAAGGGCTCCTTCCACCCCCTTCCCACGCTGGAGGAGAGGCACGTTCCCCCTGCCCCGTGCCCTGCTGAAGCCCTCATGCCTAGACACCATTCCCCACTGCTGGCAGGCACCCATCCCCTCTATGCCCCTCTCACCCTGGCCCTCGAACACCCTGCACCCCATAGACTTACCTACATGCAACTGCTGAGGCTCCTTCCACCACCCTGTCTGGCTGGTTGTTGGCCACATGTGTGCATGCGCAGATGCACATGGTGCCCTCTGCCTCCAGTAGTTCTCCCCCTGATCCCACTAGTGGAGCAGAGCAAAATCTTGGACATTTACTCAGATTGAAGAAAACTGCCCAGAGAGAGATCGGAGGACCCAAAAAGAGGGCATGTCTGGGAAAACCCGGACATATAGTAGCCCTACTTACAGTGGTCACAGTTTTTAAGTCAGTATTTGCCAGCATTGTCACACTTTGGTATTTGAGAATTTTTTCAGTTCTGTCTATAAACTCAGAGGACCAGTTAACTGTGTTATGTCAGATAGCAGCGTACAACTTTAGTTTTTTTTTATTCAAGTGAGGGCTATGTCCTTCTTTTATACATTTACCTTAGGCTAAATTTGAAAACTAGTCCACAGTTATTTAGTTTAGAATTTGTATGAAATGCTCTCAAATTTCAAATTCCAAGTTCTATTTCATAGATTCATAGATGGAAAAGACCTCAATGGATCAAGTCCGACCCCCTGCATAGACAGGAAAAAGTGCTGGGTTCAGATGACCCCAGCCAGATACCCAACCAACCTCCTCTTGAAGGGTAGGGGCAGAGCACTACCTCCCTTGGGAGCCCATTCCAGACCTTGGCCACTCTAACTGTGAAGAAGTTCCTCCTAATGTCCAGTCTAAAATAAATTTATTTATTTATTTAATAATTTTTTTTTTACTTTGCTAATCAAAATTGATCTGTAGTCCTGAGCTCTCTCCTCCTTTTTTAAAATTTAGGTGTTTCCAAGTTAAATTGTTCTCTTAAAAATGTGCAAAATACATTTGTTTTAATCTTTACAGGGAATAATTCTACAAGGCTTACGCTAATAGTAATCCAAATAGTAGAGTTGAGAGGCATATATTGTTTTATCTAATTTGTTACTAATTAATCTGATCTGTTTCACAAATTAAATGACAGCATAATTTTCAACCTGTACTCGGTAATGCCTGTGTAAATCCAGACTATCTACCTGTATATTAAATAAAGGGAATATCATGGAAATTCCTTGCAAGCATTACATTTCAGGATTTTACTTGTATGCTTATGGTAAATATTGGATGAAATACTACTTTGTAATACTATTATGATGATGATTTGTTTGTTTCTGTATTATTCATGACTGGAACTGCTTCTTGTTTTTTCTTGTTAGCTTCATAACATGCCATAGACTATTAGTTTGTTTCAAGAAATTGAATTTTTGGGCCACCTATTGTAGTGACCGTCATGCCTTATTGTACATGTACATAGAACATTTAGGATGTAAAGGACATTTGAACATGAATGCCATTATTATTTGAGAGCAGGGAGTTTAGCTGTACATTAAACATCAGGCCTGATGCCATATGTATGGCTGCTCAGCTTGCCTAGCAAAGAAGGGTGGAAAATAGGACATTCATAACAAATCACTGTGGTTTCCTTCAAAATTACTCAAGGTAATTTTTTTCCCTAAGAGGCAAATCACATAACCTTTTCATTAAAAAGATATAATTTATGAAAGCAAATATCTAACTGTTATTTAAATTGGGTGACTGATTTTTGGGCCAGTTGTCAAATAGCAGTGATGATCTTACAAGTAATTTGTTCAAAATAGGATAAAAAGGTCCAGTTTGAGCGGTAGCTTTTAGATAACATTCCTGGGGAAAATAAAGCATTTTTTCACATAATTAAGTCAGTCACATCTTATAGACTCTGTCTCATGGAAACAACAAACTTACTTTGAATGTTAAACTGCCACAGGTTGGTTTTCATATATGGTAGGATAAGGATTTGCATATAGGTATTGCTATGAAGTACTAGGTATGGTAATTTAAGGTAAATCTGTCCTGGTTTAACTTAGAGCCAAATGCTTGTTGGTCATTCCCTTAGCATCATATTTAAGTGAATTCAGCACCAATGAGGACACTATAACTTGAGTGTTATATTACATTATGGTTTCACTCTCTTTCTTGCAGCAGAGAAATTAGGGAAGTTAATTAAGTGTAGATTAAGTGCTTTTACAAATCCCACTTCTGAGTGACAGAAATGAAATTACTGTGCAATTATTTTAATGTACATTGACAATATTAATCTTCAAATTAAGTCTTGTATGTTTCGAAATTCATACATACTCTCCTGTAACTTAAAGTTCTTGGGAGTAATTTTTAATGTTTGACTTCTTATTTTATTTTAGAGAGAACATTAGTTTCCTATTTTCTGTTCCTGTTATCTCTGATCTACAATGAGTGCCAAATCTACTATCAGTAAAGAAATTTTTGCCCCACATGATGAAAGGATGTTGGGAGCTGTCCAAGTGAAAAGAAGAACAAAGAAAAAGATTCCTTTTCTAGCAACTGGGGGTCAGGGTGAATATTTAACCTACATCTGCCTGTCAGGTAAGACAAATTATTTTCACATCGAGCTATTTTTTTGCTTTATCTTTTGAAGTTTCTTTAGTTGATTAGATGCCATCACTTCCTATAAGAAGTGTAATGACTTGCATTTTAATAATACAGGCAGTGAGTTATGATCGTTACATCCTTAATATTCATAACTTTAAATGAAGCAAGTACTGTATTTACTTGAATATAAGATGAGGTTCCCCCCTTCCCCCCAATCAGCATGGGGGGGGAAAGCTCCTCGTTTTATATTGCATATGAAGAAACTTCATTAAATATATTACCTGTCATTAAACTGCTGCCAAAAGCAGTATGTGCTCAGTAATGAAAGCCAGCTATGAAGCTGCTTAAATGTTGCCAACACTGAGGATGGTTCTGAATCACATGGCCCATATTGGGCTTACATACTGATGGGAACCTACTTTTCCTTTTAAAAAAAAAATTGTCCCAAGTCAAATCTATCCTAAATCTTTGTGAACCATTCAAGAACCATATGTGGCCCTGCTACCAGCAAGCTTCTTCCACTACCACCTGGGGCTTCAGATATTTCCAAATCCTTTGGAAATATCCAAATAATCCAAATCCTTTGGCACCCTATGTGCAGGCCCAGGCCTGGAGGCTTGGGGTTTGGATACCCCTGAGTTTCGCTTGCCCTCTGCTATATGGCCACAGGAGCAAGGTAGGGAGGAGTCTCCCATTTCCATAAAGTTAGCATGTAGCTGAGATTCTTCCACTGGAAGTTAAAGTGGGAGGCTAACTATGCATTACTTCAGTCAGGGTACTACCCCCTGCCATGTTCATGGTTTTCTCCTGCCAGTAGGAAAACCACTTTGGTGGTCATTACATTTTCCCTGGCAGTAAGTAAACCTACTACTAGGTTAGTGCAGCCCATCTGAACAAGACAGAGCAGAGCATGGCACGCAAGGCCGTTTTGCTCAGCACACCACTGCCAGCCCAGGCTCTAAGCAGCTGCTGCCAGCCACGGAGCCCAGGCTGCTCCCAACAGGCAGCTGGGAGGCTGCAAGCAGACCAGGCCCCGTGGGCTGGCTGCAGCCAGGTGGCTGCAAACAGCTGCTCTGGGCTCTGGCATGTCAGCACTCCGGCACCTTCCAAGGTAGACGTTGTGGTTTTTTCAGCACTCTGGCCAAAAAACGTTGCCTATCCCTGGCCTATTGCATTCAGTCCCTCTCAGTCCTGACTCTTTTTGAAGTCACAGTGAACCAGTATACTGAATACATTTTGACTACCTCTTCACTCCCACAGCTGACCTGCACCTTTCTTTCTCATTTTCAGTTATTCCTGTTTCTTTACCACCCTTAAATGTCTGGCAAACATCACCGAATGGGGCTCCAAGCAGTTCATCCAGAATCCCTCTTTCAACCCCTCTCTCAGCCTGTTGCATATGATTAGTGCGGTCCTGTCTTCTCTGAGGTGGAGCTGGATCAGTTTGCTCTGCACCTCATCTGTGTATAAATTTTTGGAGGATCCCAGGACTCATGACAAGAACACCCAATGCCAGTCATGAGTAGGGGGGCTAATTCGCATATGGATCCTTTGTGGAGGGTATCTGGCGTACACACACATACTGAGCAGTGCTGAGCTATGGGGTCACAATGGCTTGAAATGCTGTTGACTCTGTTGGGGCCCAGCCCAATGAACTATATGGTAAATCATGGGTCTTTTGGCTTTGGATTTGTATCAGGCATGTTTATTTCATAGTTTCATAGTTGGTAGGGTCAGAAGGGACCTGAGCAGATCATCAAGTCTGACCCCCTGCCTTGGCAGGAAAA